TCACTATCTTCACACACACATTACATTATTCTATCACGTTGTCACCCTCTTTTATATACCCGACTACCCTATATCTAGTTAATACTAGAGCATTCGCCAAGGTACAGGATAGTTCTAGAAACGTGGCGTCACAGTAGTCATGTGACTCGCTGACGCAACAATACTTTCCTCTATGTTAAAATCTATAGCAGTCCTGGAAGGTGATTGTCAGTAAATATTATAAAAGAAAGAAAAAAAATATATATATATATTTTGTATTTTGTTGTTTGGACCTTCACCCCAAAGAAGACAAGTAAAACCAGGTTTTGTTCCAATTGTGTTCAACTCGTCCAAGACAATCATTCCAAAGTCCATGAATAGAACTGAGTGAGCACTAAAGGATAAAATACTTCAACCCACCAGTAGTTGACACACCCGAGCAAACTGTCCTAGCCCTAGGACTATAAAATCTCAGTGACAGTGCCAAATATGTGTATTTATATGTGAACAAATGTTAATCATTATCATTATTTTCATTTAATAGCTACAATTATATCGTTTTGTTCAGCTATTTAGAACAAGGTTCTTACCAACATATTGAAACTATGCTTGTTTTCATCTAACAAAACAATATTCTAACACTGTATTATCACTCATATTATTTTATTTACTTGTCAATCAAATCGGCTTTTCTGCCAGTAGTTTTAGCTCCACTGCATTTAAATTCCATCTTAATCATGCTAAGGTTCCAGTTTTCACATTTCTCACAAATTTTAGTTGAATTGTTAAAATAAATATCAAGAAAACAAGTAAAATTTATATACCACTCAAACTGGCTTATTGACTGGCCCAGTGCTGGCATTGCATTGATTCTAGAAAGAAAAAGTGCAATTTAGATGCATTTGATAATTCTTTATAGTGGTTAAGAGGTCGTTCAATTTGACTGAACACTTGTAGAGTTAGGGTATAGAAAATGATGGATAAAATATAAAGTTTTCTGAAAGAAAAAAAATATCAGATATTTATTTAGGAGATTTTAAAGATTATGCAAATGAAATTTAACAAATTTCAGATGAAGAAATGTATTTTTAATCTTAACATAAAAATAACTTTGAATTTGGAGCAGCTAACACTTTGAGTGAGTTTCACTACATATATTCATGGAAAGCTTTTAGTAAAAATACTTTATTAAAAAATTTGATTTTCAGTGTACAAAAGACTTGTGTAATGTTTATTGATTGTCTGCAAAGTTTTGTGAAGATATGCATAGAATTATCATAAGTTATAGTAGGACTTTTGGTTACTTTGGAGGTTATGAATTAGGTGTATATAGGAAGAGTTAATTAACCAAGATCAACATACTCACGAAAAAAATAATGTGACTTGAGATACTATCAAAAGGCACTTGTCAGTTTGTGTGAATTGGGGCCCACCATTCACATATTCCAGGAACCTCCCTTTCATTTCAGACTTCATAGGAATTTCTTATAATGTCTAGAAATAGACCAGGGATCCCAATAAAACTAGATGCTCCATTTGGAAGATTGATGTAAGGAAGATACTTTCATGAGATAAAAACACAACTATAGTTTTAAAAAAGTCAACTCATCCACTCACCGATTTTCCTGTTCATACTTATTTTCTGCACAACTATGAGACTTCTTAATTAAGACATAATCATGAACTTTCTAGGTAATGCATCATCATTTTCCACAGGTGGGACAGTGGTAAGTTTAAGGACTTGCAATGCTAAAATCAATATGTAAAACAGACAGTTCTTGTCTAAAAATTTTAAATAAAATTAATTATACAAGGCATCAATATTTTTTCCTTGCACAATAATTTATTTGTAAAGTTTAAAAAATATAAGTTAAAAAACTTCAGAACTCTACATGTTTTGGTGGAATTATTTCAACCAAATAAACCATGAAGTACACATGAATTTTCTTAGAGTACATGTGTAAATATCATATTTTTACAGTGGTACCATTTTCAAAAATTTACTTCCGTCTCTATTTATATTCATTTTGTTTTTAACAATTTCTAAGGATTCTCTTATGCTAAAATCCCTGCAGTAGAAACAGCAGATAGCCCAATGTGTTTTTGCTTTAAAACAAATAAACAAAAGCATCATCATTATGATTAGCACCTCCCTCAGGGAAACAACTAAATTATAAGTCTGAAAATATAGCCTACAACAATGATACTATTAGGTAATCATCAGGTGAATGCAGCAATGAAAAACACTTTTTTTTTTACAGTCCAAACAATCCCACCCGTAAAAGTGGCTGATATGTATAACCATGTGGAAGTTTCACTGAAAATAGCTATCAGGAGTAAGCATTTGGGAAAAATATCAATTTTTAACACTAAATTGTAATGTATCTCCATATATCTGAACTGTAAACATTTTTAAAGATTTCAGAATTATGTAGCTTCTATATGTTATAAAATGGCTTTCTAATTTTTAGAGCAATGAACATAACCAAATAGCATTCTTTCATATGAAACTGTACATGATCAATGTCATTATTTTTGCATAAATTCAGTATCTGCTCATACATAAGTCTCTGTTGACACCAGGATGTAAAATGCACATGTAATGAAAAAGGCCTAAACTCTCCATTTTTTGTTGTTTTGTGTTGCAGACTTGGTGAGAGCATACAAAAGCCTAACTAAAGAAAAAGAAGCATTGGAATCAACTGTGAAAGCTCTAAATGTTATCAAACAACCAAATCAGTTTGAAGCTTTGAATGAAGAGGCTCAGCTTGAAAAAACAAGGCATTTATCAGGATTCTCAGAGCCTATAAATGCCATGGTAAGATTCATTTGGTGACTTAAAATGGAAAATAAAACATATACATAATGAGTTGGGCACTGTCATGCTAGTTACTATAAAGCACTCTTATGAACAAACCAATCAGAATGTGTTTTTTAAACTTTTGTTTAAAATCACTATGCTTTCCTTATATTAGGATACAGAAAAGTAGATGTATTTCCATTTTGAAGTTACAAATGTTCATATCTGTTTTCAAATATATCAACTGTTGAAGTTTCCTTTAAATTTTGATATTGTTAGTTATCTGCTTGTTTGTTAATTCCCGGTAGAAATTCTTTCCGAGGAACTTCAGCGATACAAGTCCTTTTTTGATTAAACCAGTTTATTCTTTCTCGATACAAACTTTTAGTACACAGTAATTCCACAGTCAGTACATTTCCCGTAAACTTTAAACTTAAAGCGATTCACAATCTCGATAACTTCGCTCTTGACGAGTGCAAAACACACACTAGCTCGAAACAGAATTGTAAATTATCCAAAACTCACCGTAACTACTATTCGCTTTATCATTCCATGGCTTTTCTCTGCCAGGCTTATATACTAACAAAGAGGCATCTCCAACATTTGTGGAGTTCTCCGATTATTCGAGAAATTCACCACACATGCTACCAGCATCACGTGACTTACGCTGTCGTAACAATATAAAACTACAAAGTATTCTAAAAAGCATTTATTATCACATGACATTTCAGTAGCACCCATACAAACAAAATTTTGAATCAGTGGAGTTGTCACATATTTTGTAACATTGTGAATGCATGTTTAACTTATTACAGCTTATGCATCTTAAAATGGCAACTGAAAGCATTTCACCTAATATTGATGAAACCATTTTCTTCTAATGAGGTCTTAATATTTGTAGGTTTAGTTGTACTTGCTTTTCTTTTTTCAAAAACGTTTTTATGGAAATCTAGTTTGTTGCATATTATTTGCAGCTAGTTAATATTTGGGAACATACTGTTTATAATTAATTTTTGGGAACATATATCATTTTACCATATGAAAATCAACCTAAATTCATTCGTACACTTCTTAATTTTTAAGACAATGTTAACCCTTTCACCCTGGGTAGGTTAAAATGCATGTGTCACGACGTTTTGGAGAATTATTTTTAAAATTTCATTAAATAACATTTTTACTATTTAAATCAATGAAATTGGCATCAAAACCTAATTTATAATTTTAATTTTAATATTATATATGTTTTTATTTCTCAATTTAAAAGGAAATGTAAAGAACAAAATGTTAAATCTCGATTTTGTTTGTGTGTCACATACCACATCTGGTTGTCTTATTGTTCAGTTGCCATTTTATTATTCCCACCATACAACATGTACAAGTAGCTAACAAATTAGAAACTCGAATTTGAAATATAGACAAGCTAAATATAAAATATAGTGGCTCCTCCCACTACACCAATCTTTTGAAAGCTCTTGTCTAGTTCCGTTTACTACGAATTAGTTCCTGCTTATAACCAATAGGGAGAACATTTTCACCCCTACGTAACTCTGACAGTTGTTTATAAATAGCTTGAAGGAGAAAATAATAATTTTGCGAAAACTGTTGAAGTATGATGAATAAATCATATATATAAATCACATATAGTTTATTTAGAGACCCGACTAAATTACAGGGATTTGGAGTGTACTAATACAGTAATTTGATGACTTTTTGTTCTTCAAAAATTAATATTTGAAGCCTAAAAAATTAGCATCTCTACACTCTACACCCAGAAGAATAAACGAGGCTTACATCAAGGCTTAGCAACTTCGATGCACGAGTGCAACATTTCGTAACACGGTTACATACTCGAAATCTTTGTTTTTCAGTGTATTTCTCATTTACTTTCTATGTTTTAAAAAATGTAACTAAAATTTAAGCATTTGTGAGTAAACAGTAATATGTATATTTATATACATATGTAACGTACAGTAGCCGATATATCACAGTAATTTTCAGTATACTTGTATTATAGTTACATTTGTATTTTGTAGGCCAATACATAGTTATGCCTACTGAATTTGTTTTATTCTAATTGTCTAAACTGAGGTAAGTTAAAACCAAATCATACAACATTAGAAACTTGACAACTTTAAAACAAGTTTATTCATAACATTTAGAAAGGTAAAATAATTTACAAATATTGGGAAATAATATTATGCACAAATGTTTATACATGACTAAAAGGAATAATGTACATACAAACTGCATGAATCAAAAACAAATACATAAAGTTTTTAACAGAATAAAACTGTTTATATATGCCTAAGAGGAATAATGTACATTCAAATTGCACAAATCAAAAACAAACACATGAAGTTGTGCAAAGAAAAAGCTGCATGAATGAATGGAAATTTATAGATATGTATTTTATTACAAACATTTTAGAAAACTGGAAAAGCCATACTTATGATAGCATATACAGTCTAATATTATACACTGATTTTGATACACAAAAGGGAGCATCAGTATTGTACATATAAGTGTATCAACACTAAAATAAAAACTTTACAAAAATATTTAAGTTAAAAACAATCAAAAGATGCTACTAAGATTTATTTTTTCTTAAAAACAAAACAAAACTGTTTACAAAGGAAAAGAGCAGACTTTTACCTTATATATAGTATTAACTTCTTTTAAGAATGTGATACTCTTCAAAGTGTTTCACACACAGAAATTCATCACATATTTTACATTTTATTAGAACTTTATTTTCAGGAAGGCATAATCTGCATCTTTTTCTGATACCTGTGTCAGCAAGTGTAGGGAAGTGCCTGCCAAGAGTAAGTCTCAGAGGTGATGAGTTCTGTACAGTTCTAGAGAGTGGTATACTGGAAGGACCTGGTCTGTTTTGAAGTAGAGGCTCAACAAGAGCTGTGACCAGGTCCATTCTGAAGGCCTTTTGGGATAATGCCGGCTGGTTGGTCTGTTGTTTGTACAAAATGTAAGCATTTACAACTGTCATGTCCAAAAGTCAAAAAACTGTTTTTATATTGTGAAACCCTGATTTTACGTGCCTCCATATAATGTGAAGTGATTATGAGGTTGGTCAAATTGACCAAGCCAATGTTGAGAGAGTTAAAATAAGATTTCATAATAAATGTATGAGGCTTCCTAACAACAACAAAATTGTATGTAGAAGAACTTGTATGAAGAGCAAATCGAATTTTTCCATTGAGAGCTTTAGATATAGTGCATTAAAGATTCTCTAAAATAATCAATTTAACCCCTCAAAAATACTGTTTTATAGAATTTAAAAATCTTCTTCTTATAAAATTTCCAAACTAAATATAAATCATGTAACAAATATTTCAAAATAGGCATACTAACCTCTGAAATACAAAAATCCTTATCTTGTTCTGTTGCTCTCATGTTGTCAACAAACATGTGACCAAAATTCCAAATGTCCTTGATATAATGCTGAACATGCATCAGCTTGCCCATTTTTCTCTATGCTCCCATATTCCATGTGACTTACTGTACTTGCACCAGGAAGAGAAAAATATTTGGGTGGTTCTATTTGCAGGTAAGATTTGAGGTTACAGGTCCTAAAGCTCTCACCCACTAATTTTATTCCAATGTATAAAAAAATAAAATAAATGTTAAACTTCATCCTTTTTGGACTATGCTCAGAGGTTGCTGAATGAAGTGAAGTTCTAGATTGCATTGTCCTGATACTGTATGAACTACATAACATAGAAACATATTTGTTATATGTTATTAATGATTTATTTGAAGTATGTTATTTTACTGCATATAGAATAGTAAAATTACAGAATTTATGATTTTGGTGTCATTGGTCAATTTGAAATGTTACTGTTTCATTTTTGCCATTAGGAAAGCATCTTCTAAGATTTTGCACAACTTTGTTAAGATGGTATTACACTCCTCAATAAGGACCACATCCCTTTCAGAATTGTCATGTACAAAATTCTCTGTGCAATGCTTCCTCGTAGTCCTGTCTGAGCTCACATGACTGAGGGTTATAATAAAAAATCCAGATCGAATTTTGAGGTACCTATTGTGTTCTTTGTAACAAAATTTTCAGTTGACATGTTCTCAGACTTCCTGATATTCAGATGGGTGTACTCTGAAGGTTCATCCATGTCTTATTTCTCATTTAACACCTTTACCATCACTCATTTTGTTTCTGTGGATACAGTTGAATGCCAATCCAGTGAGTTTCTTATTAAGATACCATAGATGTTCCGCAAGTTTTTGACAGGGAGTTTTGAAAGAGCAGAATTCACCTTCTTATACTTGAGAAGACATTGTAGAAAGTTAAGATAATTGAGAGGAATACAAATGACATCAGGAGCAGTGAACCTTGCCTTAAGAAAGAAAGATGCAGATGTTACAGAGTCCTGTTTCCTCATGACTAATGAGCTTAAACTGTCCCATAAATATCCAGATCTTAAGGGCACATAATGCCTTGGCTATCCATTGTGCTTGATTCATTGCTTTAGGTACTATACATTGCACTCCATGAGGAGGGATACATTCAAGGAAATTCATGGATAGTTGAAGAATCTCTTGATATTTTTCTCTAGGTTGACTGACCTGAAGGTGTTTTGTACCAAAGTCAGTGGCACTGTGGCTTCCACTACTTCATCATAATCAGCTGCAGTTTCTTAACTGGACTGGTCCATGTATCCCCAAGATTGCTGAAATCAGTTACAAATTGTAATATCTGGATCAGAGGAAATCCTCACAAAGTATTCCTGTTTGATCTGTATTCCAACAGCACACATTCCATTTCTCTAGACAGTGTTGCTTGCTGTTGTGTCAAAACAAACTGTTTTTACACAATTAATGACTCCCTTCTCTTCCAGCAAATGTGTCAGAGCAGAGCCTTGAGCCTATCGTGTGCTAGAAATCAAATTTGCAACATCTAGAATTTGATTTACTCTTATTCCAGGCAAAATCAGTGACAGACATTCCACTTCTACTTTCCTTGTGAGATCATAAAGGAGCTTGCTGTCCTATTGAACACAAGTGTGAATGTTGGTTGGAACTATTTCTTTAAGTTTTTGCCAAGATCTTCAACGAAGTGGTGGTGTTGGTGAGATCTTTGGATTGAGGAAAGGTTGATGGTTATCTCTTGTACATAATGACTAAGGTATTGAGGGAAAATGTTACATTTCTTTCACTGACTAGGCTCTGTTTGTAACTGCTGCTAAATTGGGAGTGATAACTTTTCTTCTTGCCCTTATTTTAAGATTAGAAGATGATGATTCTCTAATCACCCCTATATCCTCATTACTGTTATTGGTTGATTGTGAAGAACTTCTGTCTAGATATTTGGAGATTGTCTCAGATCATTTGTTCATCTATGGGACTCCTGATATCAGTTCAGTCTTTACTTTTACTTACACTTTTTCTTTGTAGATCTGAAGAAAACTGAAGGTTTGAAACCTTTATCTATTGAGAGTTTACCTCGATACACCTAATTTCAAATTCAAAAGCCTGAACTTATTATGGAAATTTTTCATCAAAGCGATTGGATTACAAAGGTGAATATTCAGAATGCTTATCTTCTTATCCATATTCACCTATCATCACATCATTTTCTTAGTTTTTCATTGGAGGGGAGGGCTTATCAGTTTGTTGCTCATTCCATCAGCTTTTCCTCGGATTCATATGTTTCTGTTGAGTTGCGAAAACATTTATGATCTTCATCACCATGACAATGACCTTTTCTTCCACTTCGTATTTTACACACTCATTTGATGAACCACCCAACTGGCTACCTCTTTTCAGCAAATCATTCATAACTTCAAATTCCATTTATTAGCAACACAATATTTGGTACATCTGGGATTCTAGATCAACACAGTTCTCCTATGGCATTGTAAGCTTTGAAGTCTTCTTCTCATACTCTTCTATGTTCCACACCTACCACTAAAAACATCCTTTCTGGTTTGAGGACATTGGCATCTCACATCACAAAGTCATACCCTTGATGTGTGCTCACATGCATCATTTCAAGTGAGATGTTGCTTCTCAGTGGCATCTGACTACAGACCCTTTATCTCCTTATCTTTCTCTTCCTTTTCTTCTTTGTATGTTTGCAGATGCCTTTCAGAGTTGGAACATTGGTCAGACATCTTCTTTCACTTTGTTTGTGTCCTATTCCAGATCCAAATTCTCTGGCACTGGGTGCCTTGAGTCAGTTTTTTTTTTTTGCCTGCTTCCTCAGGTCGTGACCAACTCAGTTACTTGAAGTATCAGATCTCCTCATTGCTTCACCTTGGCCTGTTCAACCAGTGCTTCCTCTGTTATGTCAGTTTTTTTTCTCAAGGTAACTTTTTAACTACCACCATCAAATTGTCTTCTTCTACAACCTTAAAAGTCCATTTTTCATAACATAACATTTGTAATGCTCATCCTCAAGTTTGCCTAGGTCTTTATGATTGTTTGTGGGTGCCTGCTATTGGGCTAGTTTGATAACTTGTCCAGTCTTCAAATGTGAATATAGAAAGCTTTAGCTTCGAGAGCATGTCCAGTCTTTAACCTATTACTGGTCTACTCCTCTGAGAATCTTCCACCACAGGTATAAGGCAATGCAATGCCATTTGCCTCTTACTACCTGTTATACCACCACCTGTGCCCTGAAAATGTGATGTTTCTACAGATAAATACATACCACCTGACTTCACTTATATTTATGTGCATATATATTAACTCAACTGTTGATGAGGTACCCTGCTGAGGAGAATGCATTTACTGACTGGATTAATTTTATCCAGTCATAAGAAGATGAACTACTTTATTCATTTTCCCATAGATTCATTTTTCAATTTTTTTATTTCAAAAGTATGTCTGACCGCTTTGAATTTTACATTTTTATAATTAGAATGATTTCCACACAGGTGAAATATATTTGCACCCACCTCTTTACAATCTGTAGATATGTGGTTACTATCACAATTGAAACTACAAAATCTGGATTATTGCAAGAAAGCAGAGGTTATATATCATCTTGAAAGGCATAATAAGTCACATGAGAGGTGGGAGGGTGGAGAACTTTGGGAAAGTTGACATGCTGTGCATTGTGTCAAGGACATTCAGAATTTTAGTCACATGTTTCTTATCAGCATGTGAGCAATTCAACAGGAAAAAGACTTGTTGTGCTTCAGATGTAAGTACTTGTTTGAAATTTATTTTAATCTGAAAATGTAAAAATTAAAGAAACTTTGTAATCTTGTCTAAAGTATTTAAAGAAAAATATTGGACAGATAATTAAGTAAGAAAAACTGAACTTTATTACACGTGTTTTATTTAGCACCATTAGTGAGTTTTTCATTTGGTGTTTTCCTTTTCAAAATAGTCATTGATGTGAATCATGATGTATACTATACATAGCTACATTATGTGTAAATTCAAACTCAGCTCAATCTTATATTTCATAACAACTTTTTACTTCTTATTCAATTTATAGTCCAATGCCATAGGTCCAAATTTTGAAAAGTGTGATAAAAGCACCAAACTTGACAAAAATTATACAGTATCACCTACTGGCTAATTCTTGATGAAACCACTTAGTGATTTGTTTTTAGAAATGCTAAGGCACATTTTAACATTTATACAGAAAAAATGAGGTTTTGATTAGACCGCTTACTTTAGATTTTTTACAAACACTAAAAACATTGTTCCAAAAATAACTAAATCCATCTTTCTATTCTTAGAGAATAAATTTATATAGGCCATGATACTAGCTTTCATCTCAGTTACTGGAACATAGGAGGACTGGTTTATCTGCAAGGCCTGTCTCCAACCACGCTGTGCATCAGTGCTTCTTGTGTTGTTGATATTCTCTCACATGGAGGTCCATCAGTCTAAGTCGTCATCTTCTTTCCGCGCTAGGCAAATGATGACACCATATCATGCCCAGTGAATGAGTGGAAGAATGATAGTGTGGTTGAATTCTTAGATACAAAGGAATTTCATGAATTTCCAGATATTAGAAGTATTTTACACTACAACATGCTATCCACATCTCATCAGTGTTTGCTCTGTAACTACTGAAGCAACTGCATTGACTAATACACTTATATCCACTGTAAGAATGGATTTTCAAGCTTCCTCTTCTGGCTTGGGAGTACAAAGTCAGAGACTGCTTGCAGTGTGATAACAGAAATGTGCAAAGCAAGGTGTATTACAATTCTAACAGTAATTTTTCCATACAGAATATTTTACTTACATCTGTATATTTTACCTTCTGTTATGTCTACTCAAAATCAAACAACTATTTAATTCTTCGAACGGGGTAAGTCTCCAGTTGGTTATAATATCTAAATTCAACAGAGGAAAACCATTGTTAACTATATGCTACAGCTCTATGTTTATAACACACACACATGTATAAGAAATAATTCAAATCAAGTTAAAAGATTTGTTTGATTAGCAGTTCAACAAAACTTGATAACCTGTATTGTTTATTTTGGGATATTGCAAAATATGCTGTATCCAGTAATGAGTAATATACACCCATAACATTAGTCAGAAAGCTAAAGAAAATTGGGTGGTATGTGTAGGAAAAGTATATGTTAGACTATTTATTCCCTGCATATATGATCATCTGTCTTGTGGTTTTGTAAATTATAGGAAGTACCATTCACTTCCACAGAGCAACTAAAATAATATAATTGAAAATTTTAGGTTAATTATGCTACCGGCCTACAAGAATATTTTTACTGTAGTTTTACTAACACATGAAACAGGATAAAATTATAAACAAGTGTCAGTGAACATCCCAGATAATAATTGAAGTTTTGCATTACTGAAACATTTTCATGTGATTTTGGGGTTGGTTTAGGTTTTTTGACAATGGTAGAAGAATAACCTGATGTCCTTAATAGTCACCTTTACTTACAAGTTCATGTTATATCTAGTTCATATTGAACATAATATGATTTAAAGGTAAGCTTGAAATATATTGGAAGCATCATCGCCAAGTGTATGAATTTATTGTTATAGTACACACTGTTTTTGTATTTGTATTTCAAATGTTGTTTATAAGACAGTAATTCACATGTTTATGGTTTATTTATTTATAGTACATATAATGTACTATCTAGGAAATAATATAACATTAATTTGACTAAAGTAAAAACCTTGTTCATTGAAAACACAGTCTATAGCATATTGGCTGGGAAGTCCAGAAAGGTATATTTTTTATCATAATAGGAATGCATATACATATATAAACCTTCATTAGAGTTTTTGATTTTTTATTCTTATTCTAAAGAAGTCCAAGGAAAATGAAACAGATCAGCAGAATCAAGTGACAACTTTACTTACCTCTTTAGTCATACTTACAGAGGAGAAGTCCCGTTTGGAATCAAGTCTTCTGTCTGATAAAAAGAAGTTAATAGTAAGTGGAAAACTTTGAATACAATGTATGTGCTGATTATAGGAATTCTAGTGTTTATAGTTGTGCATTTAAACAATTATAGTAAGGTTTTTTATAGCATATACAATATTGCATAGATTAATTGGGTTGTTTCTCATACGCTATTTTTCTTCAGTTTTGTTCTGTTATTGAAGTAAAATATATTGATACATTTTGTCATTCATTGAGTTGATGGTATTTGGTGTTGCTAAAGATATTATCACCAGCTAAAATATAATTGTGGGATATAATGTGATAAACCAGGACAAAGTATAATTTTGGACATGGTTGTGTCTTTAAAGGTTTTTATGAATTCATACTGTAACTGAACAGAGCTATGTAAATGTATTGTATACAATGTATACTGTATATGCTTACCAAACTTAACTACCTTTTTGACATAAATAGAAGTGAAATTCAAATCAGTTTTTAAAGAAGTGTGGAGTTATAGTTTTTAGAAGGTATAGATTCATATTTAGACAGATCTAGAGAGAGAGAGAGAATATGCTGCTTTTAGCTCTCCAGTAAGGGTGGCCATATGTCATGTTAAATATATATACACACTTTTGTTTCTGAGAGTAATGCAAATTGTATTTTAACATTGTATTAGGCTCTTGATTTCACAGACTTCCTGTTATATACATAACAATGTGTTTATTTAATAGAATATTTTACAAATTACAAATTTACTTCTTATCTAAAGCTTGAAAAGGAAGAACTTGAAAAGCAGTTAGAAGAAATGAAACTGTGCCATCAGAAAGAGATCCAGAGTAGAGACCAAGAAGCCCAAGATGTAAGAATCTTATTTACTTATAGAGATTATTAAACTTTAAAGTAATGGACTTTATACCAGGATTTATGCATTTTGGAGAAGTGAAAAAAATCATTTCCAACTAGATCATATACAGTGTCTTGGTCAACTTCTTTATACTATATTTACAAAAAATAAATTGTAGTTGGAAACAAAACGCATCAAGAAAACATTTTAACAAAAAGTAAGCACATCCATGCCTGGGAAACAACAACAGAATTAATTATCAGTAATATTTGTGTAGTAAATATTGAAAAAGAAATTGCTGAATGTTCCATGATTTAAAAAAAAATTAAACAAATATAAAACAGTCCCAAACAAATGAAATTAATATTGTAGTAATTGTAAGGGGGGATGTGTTCATGCCTTTTCTAGAAAATAGTGTAATAAATGTATCTCTCTCTTATCTCTCTTATAGGTAACTTGGTTTTAGATTTATCTAAAAGCTGATATTCAAGATTTCTTTTTCTTCATACTCTTATGTTTATTGTAATGTTTGTTTGAGTAATAAATCTAAGATTAGTTTTATATGTGCATGATTTCAAATATGAATTCAAATTTTCATGAATAGAAAAATGTTATATCTCAGATCCATATTTATTGATTATTATTGTTAAATGTATAATATTCAAAAAATGCACACACAAAAAAGAACTTATTATCTGTTGAAAATGAAGCATTTATTGTTTATAAGTTGATCTTGACCAAGAATATTGATAGCAAAAATCATGATATCTGGCTTCACACAAGTAATGATAATTCCATTTTGAACAGTCTGTCTCTAGGTCAGTGATAAATCTTTTTTCAATTTTTGCCATGTTTTTTTTACACTTAAGAGCTGAAAGTAGTAACTTCTGTAATGGAGAAAATAAAGTGTCCAAAGAAGTGTAGTAATTAATATCAATCAAATTGAACCTGATTGGATATATATAAAATAGAATTTTCTGCTTAACAATAAAAATATGTTGAATTTCTAAAGTGAAAAAGTATTTTCAAATTTTTTTAAAACATTTTCTCACAACAAAATTTTGTGAATTTCACAACTAAAAAATGATACAAATAATAGATTAAATTTAATGAATTTTAAAGCCAAAGCAACATACTGTTTAGTACGTTTTATGCAATTTACTTTAATATTTTCACATCAAAAAGAGAAAAAATCAAGATTTTGAAAGAGTTTATTTGATTATACCATTTTATGAGGCTTTATTTTATGTGAAGAAATGTTTTTAACTTTTCTTTGATCCTTACTCTAATTGTATACATCTATAGAAAAGGTTTATTAAGTTTTGTATTTTGAATTTCTTTTGTGAGAATCTTTCTTGATAAAAATGTAATTGCTGAAACAATACAAATGAATAGTGATAAATCATGATAACACTACTGTAAGGGGAATAAAAATTTACTATTTTCAGCTCAAACAAAAAATACGTATTCAACAAAGAGAGAGAGAACAAGAGCAAGAAAATCATGCACTTATGTTAAGAGAATTACAACGTCTAGTGGCAGATGAAAGAGCATTAAAAGAAAACTTTGAACATAAGGTAATTAAATAAGTTTGTTAAACAGTGTATTTAAGTCTAATTTAAAACCCTAAAACTTTATAATTTACAACCCTACAAATGAATAAAAGCATATTTATATGATTTAATGCAGATAAATATGGGTTCAAATGAAAAGGATCTACAAAATGGGATTATTTTTTTTATAAGTGAGAGCCAGAAAGTACTTACTGTGGAAGTTTTTCATTTGTAATTGGACTATCGTAGGGTATTTTTGACTAAATAAACATATATATACTTTTTTCATTTGTATCAGCTCTTATGTAGGCTCACTTGTATAGTTTTTCTCAATTTAAAGCAAGCCTTCAAAAATATTTTCAGATCTAGGAGACAGCTCAAAAACTTAGGAGCCAGGTCCGATATAGAAAAGTTATAAAATATATTTTGAGTCAGTTGTGTGGTTATGGTTTTACAATAGAAAACAAAGGGTTCATTATTAACCCTTTCGAGACTGGTCACAGGTGAAAGGTCATGTCATCTCGTTTGTTGACTTGCATTCAAAATTTTATTGAACTACTATTTCATGAAATTATGTTAATAAGTTTGGTACCAAACTGTAGATAATAATTCAAATTTTAGAACATTACATTACTCAATTTGTTAATTTAAAAGTAGATATTTAAAAAACAGATAAACATTGATTTTTGTGTGTCACGTGGTATATTGAATGCAGCACTGGTTCAAATTAGATTTGTGAAGTCAAAATACTAAGTCTATAGTTTTGTACATAGAAACTCAAATTACAGATATTGACAAGCTAGAATATGAAATAAGAAGGTCTTATCTTTTCTATTTGCTAAGATATTGCTCACGTAATAAATAAATCAAACATAGTGGCACCCCGCTCACCTCCTTACATTTTTTATTAATGCTTCCTTTCAAATACTTACTTCTATATATGACATGAATAACCAATCAGAAGCTCAGAATGTCCCCACTAGTGGTTTTCTCAGCCTTTCTAACATTCCTTCCACCATTTATTTCTTTTGAATCAAGATTTCAATGTGGTAGGTTGTGTCTTTAGTCTGCTCGAAATTTCATATTTTTTTTAGACCCAAATACAGCTTAGTTACTGAGCTTGATAAATTATAGTAGAATTCTATGATATTTATGTAGTAATTTATGATATTTTAGTTATTCAGAAATATATATATAAAACCTTAAAAAACATTTTGTTTCATATCCTCCACATGCCAAATTTTTAAAGGCTTAGCAACCTACATCAAGCAGCAAACAAGTACAAAGATCATAACTAGAAGAGATAATTGTTTACTTTACTTCTTTATTTACTGTTCTATGTTGTAGGAAATATAACTTGAAGAACTTATTTCAAAATAGCAATA